ACAAATAAGAAAGTATTGGGAATGTTTAAAGATGAATCTGTAGGAAAACAAATTACAGAGTTTATTGGACTCAGATCAAAGTTGTATTCTTACAAAATAGATGAAGAAGATAAAAAGAGATGTAAAGGAGTAAAGAGAAATATAGTAAAAAATTATATAACACATGAAGATTATAAAGACTGCCTGCTTAGCAGGAGAAATCAGATGAGAAAAATGAATGTCATAAGATCTCATTTACATGATGTTTATACAGAAGAAATTAACAAAATAGCACTCAGTGCAGAAGATGATAAAAGAGTTATTTTAGATGATGGAATTCATACCCTAGCATACGGACATTATAAATTAAAATAAACATATATGTAAGTAATTTTTTTATTTAAAAAATCTTAAACTATTAATAAAAATGAATAAAAGAATCAATGTTGAAGGAATCATATTACCAAATGTACCATTAACAAACTTTCAGTTAATAAAAGCAGTAAAAAAATTAAAAATTAAAAATTTTAAAGGTGTATTTGTAAGAGATGAATTACCTAAAAATACACAAAAAAAAGAATGTGGAATATTAAATACTGGAGATTCAAGTACAGGTGGATTTCATTGGATTTGCTGGTATAAAGACGGAGATATGAAACTAAGTTTCGACTCTTATGGCCTACCACCACCAGTTGAACTCGTTCAATACTTACACAGTCCTGTTTACTACAATACTGAACAAGTTCAGTTTGGAAATACTTCCTATTGCGGGCACTTGTGTCTCTATGTCTTGAAAAAACTAAATGATGGAAAAGAATTTCAAAACATCATCAATTCACTTTGGTGAATCTTAGATATATTATAAAAAATAAATTAAATAATAATGAGTATATAAAATGAGTATTAATATATTCGGTAGTAGTTCAATGAATGGATTATCTGCTTTTGGTAGCACATCAGGTGGCAGTTTAAATCTTAATATTAATGTAGACAATAAAGCGACTTCAGACGTTGATCTCAATACACATAAAATAATAAATTTAGCTGATCCTACTAATTCACAGGATGCAGCTACAAAGAATTATGTAGATAATAATCAGATTTCTAGCAGTGCATGTCTAAAATTAGATGGAACTAATAGTATGAGTGCTAATATAAATTTGAATTCACATAAATTGATTAATGTAGTTGATCCTACTAATGCACAAGATGCAGCTACAAAGCATTATGTAGATAATAATCAGATTTCTAGCAGTATGTATCTAAGAACCGATGGTTATAATCCCGCAACTGCTAATATAAATTTAAATACAAACAAACTCATCAATGTAGCTAATCCTACTGATGCACAGGATGCAGTTACAAAGAGCTATGTTGATGATATGCAAAATCAAAGTTTAGATATCATTCCCAATACAAGTTTAATATGCTTTGGACAAAAATCTCAAGCATTCTATGCAACTCCAGGATCATATACTATTTTTAGCTATAGTGGTAGTTCAGGAATTCTAAGAAAACTGTGGATTGCATTTACAGGATCTACTATTGCACCTAATACTGTACCAGGTAACTTGTTTTTAAAAATATATGCTGACAATGTACTTTGCATAGGTAATGATTCTATTGTAACAGATGGTGTAGGTATTAATAATACAGCTTTAGCTTGTGATTTATTAATTGCACCACTTGGTGGATCCTATTATGCAAACTCTTTACAAGGATGTAATGTATTTAGTACAAGTGCATTAGGAGGATATTTTACATTTGATCTTCCTTTTACATCAAGTTTGAATATACAATTATACAATAGAACAGGAAATTCAGTGACATTTTGGTTACAACCTTTTATCACAAGAACTTCATCGTTACAACAAACATTAACTAGTATTAATCCGTTAATACCTCGATCTATCTCATCCATTAAGTTGTACTCAACAACATTTAGATATGTAAATACAACTTATGGTAGTGAATATATGCTAATGAATGTTATGGATAATGGAAACGGAGTGTATTTGAAATACATAAGAATGCATGTCATTGGAGGATCTGGAAACTGGTGGGAATCTAGAGTTCGCATTTATGATGGATATGGTGCTCCTACCAATACTAACTCTGTCATTCAACCTTGGACACCTTATAATAATAATGGATATACTACATTTTCTGGATATGATGTTAACAGTCGATGTATCTACGCTTCATCAGGTTTAGAAGATTTTTATCTCTCTTCATGGAATGGATCTAATGTAAGCTCATTTAATAATGAAGTATCAGGATTGTTGAATCAATCAACTAGTACAATTGGTCCAACAACTACAATTTCATTTTATAGAAACTTTAATTCATCTGAAAGTATGCCTAGCGTTGGTATAGGTAGAAGAATGGTAGTGACACTCAACTCTGGTGATGCACAAGTTGGACAATCTGGAAGCTATGCTGCACTGATAGGACAATGCTTCTACTATGCATAAGATCACTCTGAATATCACGTGACGTCATGCAATAATTTTTCGTAACATTTCATAACAAGAAATAAAAATTAACACTTATTTTAAAAAATCAATTTTTTTAAAATAAAAAATTATTTCTTATCTAAATAAATTATATACAACATGGTTCAATGTTAACCTCAATATTAATATTAATTTATGGTTGAAAATTTGGTTGAAAATGAAAAATCCCTCTGATCTCTCCTTTTTCCTACTACTAACATTACAACTAACAAATATGGATAACTTGCCTCTTATCGCATATTGCAATTAATTGCAAAATAAAAGTTATATCATTGGAGACAATAACGCTTTATTGCCAAATGTACATTATTTTAATGAATGTAATACATTAATACGCATAAAATATTATTATGGGTATAACTAAATTATTCGTATTTACTTTGTGAAACCATACTTTACAAAAAATATTATTCCTTTGAAGAATATTGTTGCTTGCGTTACAATGGAGTACCAGCAACGGTAAATCACTATCGAGGGAGTGTTGCTTTTTTTGAAGGCTGAAATATCGAATGTTTAATGTGTTTATTGTTTGGTGCACAGACAACACCTTGTTGGAAAAAAACTTGGATAAAAGACTTTATCATCATTATGTCACTTCATATGACAATCTGCTGATACAAAGTGTCAAGAAGAACTCTTATAAATCAAATATGATGAAAAAAGTAAACAAATTTTTAATAATAGTGAATACGAAAACTTTTAGGAAAATAAAAAAATGCTTCTCTTATATCCAAATAAGTAAAAACAGATATTAAATTTATTGATACCCTACTTCAATATTAATAGAACCAGATTTTAATGCTGTTAACTATATTATGACCAAAAAAATAAAACTTCCTGGATATTTTTGAAACAGGAGACCTTTGCTTGTTTCTTACAAAAATAGAATCAGATATTAAATATTAAACTTTGCAGCATAAGCCTAAATGATCTCGTTAATAGTAAAACTTTATTATTAAACTATCTATACTAATATTATTAATTTTAGTACGAATGGGTTGGCATTCTTTATTTATCTATCTGTTTATCTCTTTTCATTCAAAAATTCTCTATTTCTCAACTATTCTACTTTGTACTAAATCGTTGTTGTTGCCATCACTCTTTACTAAATTTTTTTGCTGCTGTTATTGTCTTTATTTATGAAATTCTTCTCTTATTATAATTGTTATTATTTCGTTACTATTATTATTATTGTTATAATTATTGTTTTTGTTGTTGTTGTTGCTATTATTATTCTTATCACAATCATTGTTATTATTGCTATTACTGTTATCACTATTATTAATGTTATTGTTGTTATTACTATTATTGTTATTATTGCTATTATTAGTATTATTAATAACAGTTATTATTATTACTTTCATCATTGACTATAACGTTACGTTGTATATTGAGGTATTTACTTTATATTAGTACTTGTACTATTGTAAATTTCCTTGAAATGTTATAACTTATTTCGAAATATATTTGATTTGATTTGATTTGATTTTGATTTTACACAAGGCCGGCGCTAGTATTTTTTGGTTTTTAAGATAGCTAACTTCCAGACATGGAGCAAACTCCAAACATATATATATTTATACTTATGTCAAATAAAGATGCTTTGCAAAAAATTGCGATAATTGGAGCTTGGAAACAACAAAGCCCCAAAATTTTTGCCTAGTCTGCCCCAAACGTGAGAGCAACAAATTGATAAAATATTTTTTGTACTATTTTTAACTAGACTAATATTTATCGATAAATTTTAAGTTTCATAGTAAAATACTTTAGCGTTCAAAAATTATGACTATATAATGTTTAAACCCCCCTTAATTTGAGGGGGTTGCAAATTTTATATTGTTATAATTTTTGAACACTAAGAAATTATACTATAAAACTTAAAATTTATCGATGAATATTAGTCTAGTTGAAAATGGTACAAAAAATATTTTATCAACTTGTTGCTCTCACGTTTGGGGCAGACTAGGCAAAAAATTTGGGGCTATTTTGTTTTCAAGCTCCAATTATCGCAATTTTTTGCAAAGCATCCTTATTTGACATAAGTATAAATATATATATGTTTAGAGTTTGCTCCATGTCTCGAAGTTAGCTATCTCAAAAACCAAAAAATACTAGCGCCGGCCCTGCCCTTACACTACACAATGGCTGCTTTGTGGCTAAGCTATAACCAACTTTGACGCCTTTACATCGTAAATATTATAAAATAAATATAAAATTCAAATTATGTCATGTTTTTGGCTAGCAGCGCGCTGGTCAGAGCAGAACAAGCTCAATTTTTCTTAACATAAATAAACTACCTGAAAAAAAGACAAGTTCTTTTTATCTAGTGTACTGAAATCATGCAAGTAAAACTGGCTAGTAGTGCTCGTAAGAATTGTTCAAACACCAGGAAAAATGTCTCTGACCTCGCAAACCAATATTTTGATGTAAAATTTTTCTTTCATTGTTGCTTAGTTATTCTGGTCCGTTGTGCATTGTGTAATCCAATTCGATGTCTATTTTTAATATTGTTCCACATTGGTACGGAATATGATGAACAAAACATTGGTTTAGTTTGTCATCATTGTCTCATGTTAATGTGAGGCAACAGTGAACAACACATTGAACAAAATTTATAATTTTTTACTCATTTTCTAAAACTGCATTTTAAAGTCTTCAAGTCAACCGAATATGTCTATCTTTATTTCTAGAATTTCAAGCTGGAAATTTTTGGTTGTTGTAAGTGATTAAAGTTTTAAGCTTAATTTATTCGACTATTGTTATTTGAACTTTTCTGGAAATAATATTAGGCAAAAATTTTTTTAAATAAACTTTTGTTTAACAAATTTCCAGAAAAATCTCAAGTCAAAATTTTGTCTGTATAAAAAGCTTATTGTTAGAGATAATTTATTTTAAATTTTCTTTTAATTCACAATTAATAGGGGAAAGCAGGTAGGATTCGTACACTTATTACATTAAGTCATATAAATTTTATATAAACTTATTTTTAAAGCAAAAATAATTGCTATTTTAAAATAAGTTTAATGCTGCTGAGTAACCTAAATATCTGGCTTTAATAATAATGTAATTTAGTTTTGAAAAAAGCTAACAAGGCAGTACTAGGTTGACTTTTGCGAAAAAATGGAGATTGTACAAATGCACCCTACATGTGCGGGGTAGCTTTTTTCAGTTCTTCATTCGATACTTTATTACAAAGTTAAAAATATATTTATTGAAAATAAACATTAAGATTAAAATTGAAACAAAATAGTTATTAAACATAATAAAAATAAAATTATAAAACCCATCTGCAGAAAATACATATTTTATCAATAGTTTTTCTAGGTTATCATAGAAATCAGTTACGGCTGTCTGTTTAAATGCTAAAGAACGGGCTGCATGATTTTTTTCATATGTATTTGCAGTGCCAATCCTCCCCACATATAACTGTACTAATGTGTCCCAACCATAATAACTAACATATAAATTCAAAATATAAATAACGGATAAGGTTATTAGAAAATTATTGTCTAAATAATAATCTAAGACACTTATACAAAAAGCGTAATAAATTATTTCATTAATTGGAACAAAAATTATTACAAATATGTGTTTTCAAAGATTAAGTAAAATTAAGTAAAATTACTTAAGCAGTGCAAAAACAACCTATTCCAATAATGATTATGATGGCACTGCCACAACATTAAGCTGTTAGCCTTTGTGCATAAATGGTCTTCACACACATAAATATAAATGTGTCAAAACAAAGAATGGTCTAGATATGCCTACTGTACGAATGCTCCCACTGTACGAATCCTACCTGCTCTCCCCTAAAATGTATATTTCAATAAAGTTTAAATATACCTAATTTGAACTAATCCAAACTTTTCAATTGATGTCTGCACATATATAATAATTATTTAAATGAAAAACAGCAATATAAATAAAATAGTTTTAGTAAATAAAATTAATGAACATAAGTTCCGTGAAGTTAAAAGGGCTTTAAATAAAATATATATAAAAAAAAAGTCAACATATAATATAAAGGAACTAATAATACATGCTCTTAATTGAAACCTTGCAATGATAAATAAAGTATTACTTAAGAAAGCTGAAACTAACTTTATAATTTCATGTTCGACTAATTGTAGTTTTGTTATGGAACTTTGTTGCAAACTTGTGCAATTTTTTTTGGGGTTAAAGTTGGTTAAATTTTTATCCAATAAAATGCTGTAATAGCAATAACAATATTTTTAATTAAAATAAAGTATTCTTAATAATGATCAAAAAAAAAAAAATTTAATACATAAATAATTAATATTGCGTACATCAGGCCTTGATAAAGCTGGAGCAATCAAGTATGTAAAACCTCTGAGTATGTAAAATACTTCAGTAAATGGTCTTTCGAGTGCAACAAATAGTGCTTGATAATTTTGTTATGAGAGTAAAAAATCATGCTTATCTGAAGAACTTGAGAGGGAGAAAATTGATTTTATAAAAAATATTTTTGGTAAAGTCAAAATATGTTTAATTAAACAGTAGAGTTTGCATATTTTAAATAAAGAAGTTATATTCATTTTAAAGTACGTCACACATAAATTAATATTAAAAATTGTAATGCAAGAGAGCCAATGATTTAGTTTTTAAATTGAACTTAATTATATTATCCACTTAATCGTACCTTCATAAAGTCGAACCATTTGCTAATTCATTTTTTCGGGTCAATTGACAAAAAATTTCACTTAACTAGGAATTTTACTTTAAATTACATAAAAGTCCATGTAATAAAATATCAAAACTTGCAACACTTTAATAAAAATTCCAAACTTTGAATACTTAAAAGTTAAATATCTAGCATAATATAATTTAGCAAACTAAAATTTTACTTATAGCTTCGATTTTGTACAGGTTCAATCATATTATATTTATTAATGGCTATTATATTTAAAGTTCAAAAACATCAAATAAAATTCAAAAAGTTTGAATACCAAATACTTTTGTGTCAAATATAATTTAACAAACTAAATATTTTCACTGATACCTTTGAATCAGTTTAGCTTATAAAGTCTATTTACTAAAAAAGTTAAGGCTAAACAAAACTAAAAATTAAAACCGTAACAGAAAATTCAAAATACAAAGTCTCTTAACCTCCATAAGTGGTATATCATCTGTAAGTGGTATACATAATCTCTAAACCTCCATATGCGGTAGTGGTAGAGTGCTTGCTTCATAAGTGAGAGGTTCCGAGTTTGATCCCCACCACATTCCTGGCAGTACCGCACTCAACTCGTTTCTCCACGCAGCGTCCTTATTTGTCGAGGTTCATGTTTTGGAGTTATAACCACAGAGAGGGTTATAACCACAAACAAGCAGCCTCCTCATCTGTAGTGGCCTTCTCGGTCTTTAGGAGATAAATTAACAAAAAAAAAATATATATATATATATATATAATATAATATATATATATATATATATATATATATATATATATATATATATATATATATATATATATATATATATATATATATATATATATATATATATATATATATATATATACATACATATATATGTATACAGGGTTCGAAATAAGCGCCGGACATCGGACATTGTCAGGCACTTGTCCATTAAAAAATGACATCTATCGATCATTTTGTCTGACATATTTTTTATTTGCATTTCTTTTCTAATCATTTTAGTTGTTCCAAAAGTTGTTGTTCCTAATAAATTCAGTATTGTATATAAACTTTATTTTTTGAACTTTTTATTTTTATAAAAAACAAAATTAAAGTTGCAGGCTTGGACAGGAATGGCGTGCGAATTGAGCGCTATTGCTGACCATGCAAATGATTTTATTTCTTGACAACTTGACCACGATTGTATATATGTTTTGATGATTTAAACATTTCAGAAATGCGCTAAATGTAGAAACGCTAATCTAAACTTAAACTAGGAAAGAAGTTAAAAAAAAAATTAACAAATAAAGTATTCTTAAAGGAAAAAGAAATGAAAAAATTCTCTACGAAAAAGAAATTATATAAGCACTATAATAAAAGTAAAAAATAAAAACTTAAACTCCAAGCGAAACTTTTTTTATGTTTTTAATTGCCTTTAAAATAAATCTTTTTAAACTCTTAAAGTTACGCAAAACGCTTTTAAATTAACAAATTACTAGCAATTGTTTAATAAACAAACAATTTTTATCAAATTTATTAAAAAGTGTTGTATTTAATATTTTTAAATTGTATAAACATTTATTTTTTCAAAAAAGTTGCAAAAAAAACTTTCAAAAAGAAATGTAGTCTTTTTATAATAGTAATTTTTAATAATTTCATGCTCTAATTAATGTCTAGTTAAAAAAAAGGTTTCCAACTCTTTTAATCATAAAAATATGAAAAAAATAAATAAATAAAATGCGCCTGCAATTTAAATTAAATAAACTGCCAACAAGTAATTTAATTTTAATTTGAGCATTGTAACTTAATTAATTAAGCTAAATTAAGCGCTTCACTTAACGAATTTAAAAATTATTATAAATGATTTCAACTCATTCATTCCTATCGTAATTGGGGGGGGGGGGGGGTGAATTGTTTTGCAAAAAACAAAATGTTTTTTTAAAAGATTTTAAAAAATTGTAAGTTATAAAAATTAATTGTATGAACATTACAAAATGCTTCAAAACTTTTCCATTGATCAACCAAATACATGTTTATATAAATAAATATAGTTATTTTACATTCTTGTATAATTTACATAAAATGTGAATTATACAAGAATTATTATTCATTAAGTAAAGTAATTTAAAAAAAATCTTTCTAAAGTTAATGCTTTGAAAGATTTTTAGGAAGACATGGGAAAATAGTTTCAAATGTTTAAATCTATCATGCCTACTCAAAAAATAATTTATAAAAACATTTTCTATTAATTTGCACACGCTTTTATGTAAACAATCGTTAAAAATAATTGAATGGTTTTATTTTAAAGCCTTTTGCGTAAAATAAAAACTTTAGAAAAGATCAACAATTAAAAGGTAATCATAACGTAACACTTTTTATTGCATTTAAATTGTTAAAACATCAAAATAGCTGTGATCAAGTTGTAAAAAAAAAAACTATTAGCGTGGTTAGTTAAGAGTGCGATTGCACGCCATTCCTGAAGTTGAACATGCGACTAGTTAATAAAATACGTCATTTTATTGGTGTTAATTTATTTTTTAAAAGACACCAAAGCATTACATTTTTATGAATTAAGTCGCCGGGTTTTTATCATTCATAATAAATGTTGCAATTAGTTACAAATTTAAATTTATGGTTTAGTATTTATTTTGTTTTTTGTTCAATGGTTTTTATAAATTTCAAACAAAAATTTTAGCTTTTAAAACCTCTTTTAAATTTTGTTTTATAAAAATTTTAACGCAATAAATATTTTAGTAGTTTAATAGTTATGCTTATAGAAACCAGTACTTTTTATTACACTATAGAAACCAGTGCTTTTTATTACGCTATTAAATTTGAGTTGTTACATAACTTTTGTTTTCGTGCCAGAAAAGTTCGCTATTAAAAGTGTTATAAAATTAATCCTAGACAAAGTTTGAAAAGATTTATAAAAAAATACATATTTATATAAATGTAATTATGTATAATATTCTTTGATAATTTGAATAAAATGGGTTTATTTTAAACATTATAATTAATTTGTTACTTTATTTAATAAAGTATTATAGTTTTTATATATTT